ATTGGGCCATGCAGGTAATTTTTCCAATACAGGGGGAAACAAAAAAGCTGTGTGGAGGAAGAAATGAATTACCATATGAACTTTTGTTGGAGCTCTCAAAACCTTTTCTCTTACTGCTCTCCTCTGCAGCTTGTCAAGTTCTCCATGGAAAGATAAGATGTTAGGGATGAGAATACAAATGGGGCAGGGTAGGGTGCTGTATTTCAGAGCTGTTTGGTTTAGCTGACAGGCTCTTTCTTTCTCATAGACTTTCATAGACTAACAGCAAGAATTTCTAAAATGTTGTTATTGTATGCAACTACTTTGTCCCAGTGTGTTAGTATGCACATCAGTGTCCTGCACAGAATTATCATAGAATTAATTAAAAAAAAAAGTCTTTTAATCCAAAATCCAAAAAGGTTTATCATACCCATGATAAATAATTTGGCCCATGATACAGATAGATTAAAGTAATGTGCTCACAAATACAAGGGTGGACCAGTAACTAAAGAAAAGAAAACAGAAAAATTCTTTGCTTCTGTAACACTAGCTAAAAAACAGAATATAAATTCAGCTCTGAGATAATCCCACAGAACCTGATGAAATTAAGCAATAGAATCATATGACTTTTTTTTTTTTTTTTTAATCTAATTGTAGGTGGGAATTTACCTGTAGTTTGCATTTGGGCACTCATTTTAAAAAATAAATATTTTTACAGACAAAATACAATGGAATTTCAGAGATTGACATTTAAATTTTTGCTTACTTTCTGTTCACTAGGGTTTTTTTTGTTTGGTTGGTTTTAAATTATTTAGAATCAATTAAATGATAGCTGATAACTGTGATGGGATTTACTGGGCATGAAAAATCATCCCCATGCCCCAACAAATGAGGTGAAATATGCAAAAGAAATGGACAGGGGATACGTTAGAGCTCAGAAATAGATGAAAAAACATGGAACAAATATCTTTGTAGATGCAGGAAAAAAATGGGAGTGGCCACTGCTTTTAATAAAGGAATTGTAATTTTCCTGAAGATTAGACATTAGCATATATATGTAAGTATAATGACTGAATTAATATTGGGGCTACAAAGAACAAAACTTATATTAACACTTTCAATTGTAGGTCCCTGGACTCCACAAAATGGTTTGTAAGAAAACATTTCTGAGAAGTAGGTACTACCCACATGTGGAATAATTTTTGAGGGAGAGTATAGAGACATCTTTTCCCCTGAAAATTTCCAAGAAAAAATTACTTATGCCTTACTTTCTAATATACCTCAAAATAGGTATATTATTGCTTTACAAATCAGTGTAATGCTGACTGTATCGACATTTCGTTCTTAGCATAATAGAGGCTTTGAGGTGTATAGAATATTTTTGGTTTGAATTTCTGGACTTTTTATATTTAGCTAAATATTTAGTGGGTTTGAATTCTAAAAATCATTACTAACACTTAAAATTTTCCTGTTTTTTCTATATACAAATTGGGAAAATAGATTTTTTTTTTTAAACAAGATTTTTCTAAGAAGATCTAGATTTACTATACTCATGACTGTACATCCTGCATGTATTACATTCAACACCCAATGTTATATTGAATCTGATGGATCAAAACCCTAAAACTAAGATTTTTTCAGTAAATGAATCAAGGCTACTAATAGTTTAAAATCATGCAAATCCACACAGAACCAGATATTTAAAAGGTCTTCAGTGTTTTATTTATTCAAGTTTCAGTTTTAAATAGGATGAAATATTTAGGAAAATCTCCTTAGAGAAAAGTGTGCAAAAAGTTTACATGGAATATTTTATTCCTTTTCCTGGTCCACTTCCATCTTTTTCTATTATTTTCTCTTTAAGCAGAACACTTTATACTATAGCCTCTAGAAATAAACCTCTTAACTGTCACTAAAAGCTTCAATATATGCTCTTTATTATTTTCATCAATCCTCTTTATTCTAATCAGCTGGATAAATGGGGAGCTTGTTCTTAAATACCTAATGATCAAGTTATCAGGGTACAATTGGTTGTTCCTCTCCTTAATCCTGGGGGGTTGGTAGAAATCACTGTATTATCTCTCTGGCATCATACAATTCACGTGTGTTACTAAAAACAGTGGAACATGCAATTTAATATATATTTTTGTAGAATATTACTTGCTGTGCTAGAAATTTCTCATTGACAACAAGAAAATACTAGTGCAATTGAAATTCTTTGGTATCCCCTTCCTGGCTAACTGTAACAAGTTTTTTAATTTCTATCTGTTTTGTAGGGAGTCCCTGCAATTCTTTCATTCTTAAAAAAAAAAAAAAAAAATTACTGTACTTCTAGGTTACATACATTTCATTGTGAATAAGAAGATTCAGGAATTATCACACAGTAGATGATATTATGTACAGATCTTCAGCTGACACTGTTAATTTGAAGAGATAATAAATAACCAAGAGCTAAAGCTGGAACATCATCTAACATAAAAGAAGCCAAATACTATGTTTGGTGTTAGCAGTTAGAGCAGTTGTCATAACCCTGATACCAATGATTTCTGTTTTCTCAACTTTCTTTTGTGATAAATGCACATGCAGAACTATCATATTCCTTAATATAAAATTATTGTTTAAATCCTCACGTGGTGTTTTAGGCCCCAAAGAGATATACTGGTGTTCCGGTGACAGATCCTAACCTCAGTAACAAAAAAAAAAAAGGACCTTGCTTACCAGGCAAAGGTTCCTGATCTGCATAGAAAGCTGGCAATTCCACACATTTATCATCATTAGGGTTGAACCAGCAGTCAAAAGCTAAATGCATCTCTTCCTTTGTGCCTGTGTGCTTCATATGTAGTAAATCTAAGTGCCATGGATTTTTTAGCTTGCTATGTGGGACAGTTACTTGAACTTTGTATATTGAGCCAACGTCTGTCAGTTCATCCTAGGTGAGGAAAAAGAGAAGATGATTTGATCTCATACTAATTGTGCCAGATCAAATGTAGTTAACAGTTGTATGCAACAGTCAAGCAAACTTCAGTAGCTAAAGAATTGGGGCAGATTTATAACTGCTACTATTTTCCCCTTTCTAATCAATACAAAATTGATTTACTAATGTGAGTGAGGAGATGGAATGCTTGAGGTCTGATATCAGAGAACAAGGAATGGCAGTCATTGCTGGAATTTGTACACAGAACCAGGCATAGTGTTCTTATATGTTACACTGATCCGGTAGACGATTTACAAGCACAGAAGTTTTAGTCAATTTTAAAATTTTTGAATGCTATTAGAAACATTTCTTACAACTTGCAATATAAAAACGGTCTTTTATAATAACCATACATTTGAAAAAGAATAATCTGATTTTGAGTGGCAAATAACCATACATTTGAAAAAGAATAATCTGATTTTGAGCAAACATCCAAGAGACCCTCCGTCTTCTCCCTATACCATGTTTTCATATAGAGGCTGTCCATTAAAACCTTCCTCTTCTTGCATTCATACTTGAGAAAAACTGTTCTAGTTCTGCTGGGGATAGTACTGCATCTCTATGACATAACATGGCTTGAGTAAGTGAAAGTAGATGAGGCTTTAGATAATATACATGATTTGGTTTAAACCAGTAGTATTTTCCTCTAAGGGAAAAACAAGGAAGAAGGCTGAATCTGTCTTTCCCTCTTCCGCTTTACTTCTCATATTCTATCACCAGATCTTTCATCTCAAATACTGCCCAGTTAGTGGAATTGCATGTGACCTGACTTCAGATATTCCTCTAATAGGGCACTTCCAGTTTCATACTGTTTCTTTATTTTTACCTGAGGTTCTTGGAAATAACTTAGGAAAGCCTTCTGGATACTCCTAATTTTTGATCATGTTCGTGGCCTAGGCTAGTCTGCCTAGTTTCTCTTTTATTAAAATAAAAAGAAGAACATCAAAAACTAGCCAATTATTTCATTAGCTTAATCATTAAGTTCCATTTACCTTACTGGTAGGGAGAAGAATGAGGAAACAGTTTCTTCATTCACAACTCCAAGGCTGCTTACTGATGAACTCCCAAATGAAAAGTAACATATTTTCACTCATTCTTTTGGCTTTTTGTGAAAGCTCCCTTCATCTTTTATTTTTTTTTCTTCCCCCCTCCCTCCCAGTTTTCTCTTGCTACCTGCTTCGTCACTTCAGGATTCATAGAATCACAGAATCACTATGGTTGGAAAGGACCTCTAGGCTCATCAAGTCCAGCCTTCATTCCAACATTTCCCTATCCACTAGTCCATAGTCAATCTTGAAGAAACATCTTTCAGGATGTGGCTTCGTGGATATATTTCTCTGATATAAAGCTGACTTCTGAATTTCCCACTTCCCTGTCTGCCTACTTGCTCCAGTTCCCTCTGTCCTGTATTGTATTTGTTTCAGCAGCTGAGGGGTGAACCAATCAAGGTTAAAACTGAGGCTACGAAACCACTCAAGGTTAAAACTTCCTGTTTCCTCATAAGGATCAACTGTCACCCCAAAACTCATAAGGGACAAAAGAATGATGGAAGAAGTACAAGAAGAGGACAAACAGTAATCACACTTCCCTTGAATACTGTCCTAGATTCCAGCACTTTATGGCTCAAGAATTTCCTGAGCTAGATGAGGTGTCTGCAGTGTTTATCTTCAGGTTAGTTCCAAATTCTACTAAGCTGGTCTTTCATGGAGAGCAAAACCAGAAAAGCATAAGAGTAACATAGTGTTGGCACTCAAAGAATTACAGCTACAAGAGTGAACTAAGAACATTGGGAGAAGCAGCAGGCTACAAGTCAATGCAAGTGGACCTCAGATGCTTGTTAGTATTTCAGTTAATGGGTAATAGGAGGAGGTGAAAACAAATGATGGAAGGCAAGAACTAATTAAAGGAGAAAACTTGCAGGTAAAAATGAGCTGATCAAAAGGAAAAAGAAAGTTAACAACAGGCAAGGAAGAGAAATCATACAAGAGAAGGCAGTTAGCCCAGAGAATCGTTGTGGCAGGGATGAATAAATTACATGAAAAAGAAAAATGAACTTGATGTAACTTTTGTCTCATTTATGATTCTTTCTTCTCCATCATCAGCCCCCAAAGTTCTATATTACTGCATGTCCTATTGTATGTTTATAGATTACTGACTTTTGTGAGATCAGCAAAGCCTGTAAATCAGTACCTGCAGTGTGGGATATACTGTGATATGCACCAAGGGACCAATTCACTCACTTAAGCATTCTCAGTATGAGACATTGGGAGAATCTGCTCATTCAAAACCCATTGTTCAAGTGACTACCTATAAACAAAAATTATGACCTGTGCCAAACTACACAGAGGACTTAAAAATCAATTTGGTAGTTTAGTTTAAAGAAAGAATTTGTCTTAATTAAGTGAGTTATTTGCTACATGATTCTTAGGCTTTTCTTTCAAACAGAGAAAGATTGAAGTACTTTGATCTGAATTGCTTTTCCTGTAACCTGAAGGGGTGACTTTTTGTGACTCAGGTTGCCGTAGAAGATAAAAGAAAGGCATATTGGATCCTCTTCATTGCTCAAGTCAGATCCAGTGATGTCCATTATCCAGAGACCTGATGACTTCATGTTGATTTCAGGCAGTTTAGGACTCGAAGTCAATCTTTTACCTTTAAAAATTATCAACGAGAAAGAGGAAAGATGACAGCATGAGAGAATGGCATAATATAGGAGGAACATAGCCTTTACAGAACACAAACAAAGGTCTATTTGCAGGTAATGTTGTATCTATAGCAACAGTTCACCAAGAATAACACATCAATACCTTTCTTATATTTTTAGTCAACAATGTAACAGCTTAATGTTCTTTCTGTTTTTAAAATTTACCTTCAGAGGTATTTTCTTGATGCCAAGGTATTTTCCTTGTCATATTTGGAAATAATTGCTAAGAGAACATTCAGTCAGCTTTTAGAGGTCTAATTAATTGCTCTTAAAAAAGCAATCAGTGTTACTAAAACCATTTATCATGTAGAAGCACGAGCCATCTGTAGCATGTAGGCACTTCATGCAGAATGGGCAATACTAATGAACTCCTCTTGTAACTAGATCTTACCTAACAATGTAATGTGCACTGTAATAGTGCAAGACTGACAGGTAAACTTATAGTACACACACAAAAAAATATTTGCCAGATCCTCAGAAGATCAACATTAGTACCTCCTTCTCTTTTCTTCATTAATTGCTGTTATGCTTAATTTTTTTTTTCTGTTTTAACCATTTATGGGAAATAAAAGTGATTTAATGGAAAGGAATAGCTCAATAGAATGTACTTTCTACAACTCAAAAAAACCCCCATATAGCTGTACATCTGCATGTATGTCATAGGCACCTTATGTTTTTAAGCTGTTCTGCTCCCTCTGGATGGACTTCTGTGGTTCATTTACTTTACATGGAATTGTCTTCACAGGATTGAAGGAAGGAATAATTTCTAATTGTTCTAAATGACAAAATGTCTTGCTCTGTTGCCAAATACATCCAGGTTTAGATTTCAGAAATTGTGGCATAGTAGGTTGGAAATGAGCAGAAACTGAGCATACCAGAACTGGTGCATTGTACTGTGGAATAATACAACATGGAAAGACTGGGCTTATTTCACTGAAGTAACTTTTCTCTGGATTTCGGATGAGATAAAATACCTGAAAAGTAGTACATAAAACTTAAGGTATTTATCCCCATGAGGCACACAGCCCAAACTCTAATCTGCTTTAAAGGGAAGTGTTCCATACACAACACATAGACAAGATGGAATTTTACTGACCTTGAACTTAATGAGATGTGGTTTTGCTATAATATTAAGACCATACTTACAATTAATATTTTCAAGGAAAAATGGATACTATAGGGATCTAAATGAGCTGTGGCCAAATAAATAAATAAAATAAATAACAATTAAAAATAAACATGAACAGGCAGGTCAGTTTTGTAGAAGAATTTACCAACTGTCACAATCTCACAAACAGTCTCACATAGTCCCAGATGAGTATCAAGCCAGTTCCAGAATGGGAAGACCCATTCTTTGTCTGAGTCTTGTTCCTCCTTGACTGTTACCATCTCCATGTACATCCCAGCCCCACAGCCTTCTCCATCATGTCCTATGACCACTTTTTGAAAATGGCTCAGAGAAAGAGCTTGCACTAAAAATGAATGCACCTGCAAAAAAAGGGAAATAGTAAAACAGAGTTTGGACCCAAATATGATTGAACTTCAGGGAAAATTCAGTCTTGGATTCCGCTAAGGATTTAAAATGTCTTCTTTTTTTTGTAATATTTAACATAACATCTCCCCTCTGAATGCAAGAAAGCACACAGATTATACCTAGGATTTAATCCCACATTCATCATTAACAATGCATTGATCTTTGGACAATATGGATCATTTCATCAATCATTTCATCTTACATTATAATGCACGTACCTCAACCTTCTGACAAACAGTTAGGGCAAGATTTTGCTTCTGATCAAATTTTCATCTTTCAGGATACTTCTAGTTTCTAAAATTTATCATAAAAACCTTAACAGTCCTAAAGAAAAGTCAGAATTCTAAAAAGCATGTACATTCCAACATAGGTTCTAAATTCTTCTCAAATAGTCAAAAAAGCCTTTTTGTTTTGCTTACAAAATTAAAATAATTGTGGAAATAGCAAATGGAGAAAACCATAAGTAATAGAAGGAAGTTAATCTGAAGGTGGAGAACAATTTGAGCAGAATATGAGAGGTGGGAAGGGAAGCAGAACGGAGAAGGCAAAGTAAGACAAAAGAGAACATAAACATCAATGGATGAGACTAGAGACAACAAAAACAACAAGATAAGGAAAAATGTGAAATGCAAAGAAAGAAATTATATGCCTCACTAAATCCTTGCTTGTTTTGTAAGAAAGTCAGGTGTTTTGTATGAGGCCCAGCCTAGGGCCAGATGGATTCAATGGTAGCTGATAAAGGTTAATAAAATTGTGAACAACTGGACTTTAAACAGCAATTTCTAGGATTATAATTAACACAAACATCCCACACCCCCCTGAAAAAAATAAGTAAATAGTAGGAACCTACTAAACCAGATGTCAGGGCAGTTAAAAAAGAAGATATTAGCAAACCGATCTCCAAAAAATTCTGTACTTGCTAAGATCTATGTGTTGTCCTTGGTACTTTTTGAATAAAAAAGAAGTAGATTTTCTGCTACTAATACTAAAAGCACTTTCATAAAATAAAAATACTGATTTGTTTTTTTTAACAGTAGTCAGGACCCAGCAGCAGATCATAAGCAGACTGATTTTTTTTTTTTCCCATAAGACATTTTAGGAATCGGTGCATGAAGGCAAATATGAATGATTATTGGACACTTATCTTCTGCATATAGGCATAGTCCTGAGATACGTGCAGAAATTCTGTTTGTTACTGATTTCACTTTTACCCTACCAAATGCTGTGTAACTGTCTAGTGAAATAATTTCACAGAAATCTAAGACTCTCCTTGACAATATACATCTTTGTACCAAGCTTTTTCTAACTCAAACGTTCAGTGAGTGAACCTCTCAGAGAAAAGCCTGATATACAAGAGTTTTATTGTTATTAGTCATCTAGAAACAATTTTTATGTGCATTCTCTTCTCTAAGGGGAGTTTTTGTCTCTTGTCTAAACTTACTGACCAGACATTAACTTAATGTTTCCTGTGATACTGTGGTTTCAGAAACATCACTGATTGAAAAAGTCTCACAGCAATTTCTCACTTATTTCAAAACACTGATTTTTAATTCTTTGCTACATGGGTTGTCCTATATTTAAATTGGAAGTAGTAGGATGCATGATCAGAGAGGTTCTCCCCAGTAATCTGTTCTCTGTGTGCTCCTTGTAGAGTCTTTACCATCATGTGAGGATGTCCTTGCACAGGAAGGAGATAATACTAGCATTGCTCTACTGTGGATATCTGGAAGATAAATTCTGTTTCCAAACTCTTGCCCATCTGTAACAAAATGTATTCTGATCAAGTATTAAGCAACACTTCATGCAGTGCTATCCCCTGCACATGTAAGACAGCATTTTTTTGCCATTACCTTATTCCTTGGAAATTTTGCTTTTGCTAAAGATGTATGAAGTTTCCTCACACCTGTGTTCCCTCTTTTGCCATAGAAAGTGATATAAACATTTGCAAAAGTTTCTGCTCCCCAACAGTCACCAATATGTACAGAGACAACATACTTATAGACTATATAAAAAGAAAAAGTTTAAGCTGATAAAGTACAAGGTGTACTTAAAAGAGAACAGACACAGAATATTAAGTAAGACTACTGCATGTTTTTATCTCTGAAGCTACCAAAAAAATCTGCTATACAGTGATTGAAATGGTCAGATTACTCTTTATGAATTTGATCTCATGCTAAGTTCAATGAAGACCTTCCATTAATTTCCTTAGACATTCAAGGGAAATTGGACTTGGACAATTTAGACTTATGCAGCTTAGAGATACTAAAAGCTAGACAAATTCTGACCGATTCTTTTTTACTGTGTAAGATCTGGAAAATAAGATCTCATCTGAGTTTATTCAGGGACTGTCAGAAACTGAATTATCTTTGCAGTAAATTACTACAGGTCAAAGAATAAGACACTATGTAAAGTTTATGCAAATTATAATAGCAGAGACAGATGTAGCAGAGCATCTCAATGAATGATGTGACATAGAAGTATAAAAATTTACAAAATACTCTTATCGATTTAAGGTGCATGACAGGAACTATGAACTTTTTACCTCTATAGTGCTCCTGTATAAACGCACTTCCACACAGATTGGATTTTCTTCTGAGGAAGATCATTAAATTGCATATATATTCCTACTCAGAAGAATAACTAAAAATTTTTAAATGTCATTTTTAATGCACAGTTCTGCTGAGTTAACATTTAACTAACAAAGCTATAGTTTCTTTTAAGGTCGTGAATAGATTAGAGGTATTCAGGGACCAGAACTTCTGGAACTTCAGTTCAGAAATGCAGTCGTGTCTCTAATTATTTTTACCTCGTGTAACTGCTAACTTCTCTGAACAAATGCACCACTTCTATAAGTCTTTACATTCCGAGTTAATCTCTGAATGTACTCTGAAACTCAGCATGTTAAAAAATAGTCCATAAGGAAAAACCAAAAAGTTTTTTGTACAATAAAGCTTACTTCTGATACTTCTGTTAGTAACTAAAGCTATTATAAGCTAAGTAATTCAATAGTAAATCTACCATAAATAATTTCCTTGGCTTTGAACATGTGCTTTATCTTTAAAGAGCATAATTAAATTGTTCAGTTTTGCACACATAGAATCATACAGATGATTTAGCAACTGTGAAACCCAATATGCAACTTAACTAGAACATTCAAATTTCTTAAGTGGTCAGCATTTTGCAGTGCATATATGAAGACAGTTGCAATATAGCCACTGAAGATACCAAATCCAGACAAAGTGCTATATCTGTGGCATTGATTTCTTTTCAAAAGTTTCGTTTATATTATTTAAATATTCTCAGTGTTTTTACCTGGTAAAGTTTTCCAGTCCTCATTGACTGCAGGGAATTCTTTCACTAGCTCCTTGTCTTCTCTGTTAAGAGAGCCAGCAGTTACAGTCAAGGTTCAGTTCTTGTTTTGTATGTAGCTCTTCTAAGTGAAAAGACTTCAAATGCCAGCCCTCAAAGCCTGGCACATCATCACAGCTGCCCCAAATCTTGTATACATCTCCCAGATGTCCAGTCTCAACCTGCAACAAATATCATGAGGAAGAACATACTGTCAGGGCTGGTTCGCTTGCAGAGATTTTCCCAAATCTCTGCGTAGAGTTTCTATAAACTTAACATTAACCAATGGAAAAGCTGAATTGGAGGCTGGGATAAGTGTGATGAGAGAATCAATCCTTCTGTTCTCCGTGGTATGATCATGGGTGAGATTGTCACCTCTATTTTCCTCTGTTCCCTAATTAGTATTGCAAGCATGATACCCTAACCACTAAGGTGAGTCAAGTTTAAAATTAATAATATCTGTGCATTTAAGCTCTTAGACAAAAGGTAACATGTAAAGCTTTGACCCTACTGAATAGAGAGAGAATTAACTTACAATTAAAGGTTCTGATATCAGCAGTCAAGTGAGGTATTAAAATTAATGATAATTGCTATGAGCCTAGAAAGTTTTAACTAAATTCTAAATTCTCATTTGCAAAATGACTGGATTTAGAACATGAAATTACTTTGTAACCAATTCTTTGGAAAAGAGGACGACTATTTCTGCATAAAAGTAAACCAAGAATTTTGCAGAAAACTGTAGAACAACACAGCCCTGTTTCCATCCTGCATATTGGAAATTCAATATCTGGTTGCTGATCGAGGACTTCTGTGAGGTCTGGTTAGGCCATCCAATTTAGGGCTGTGGGAACTGGGATGATCAAACTGCATCAAGTGCTAGTGATCTCAATGACATTAACCACTGCCTGATAGGTCTTCTGAACACCAGGAAGTGGAATGCTGCAGCCTTTCACCAGGCCACTGCAAGGAAGACAAAGTGGGAAGGGACTTTCCAGTGATACAATGCTGAACTATTATTTTTAAGAGGCAACAATTATTTTTAAGAAAGATAAAAATAAAAAGAAAATATTGCCAGTGGCCTTGTTCTTCTCTCATATTGCCTTTTTTTTTCCCTCCCAGACCAGTCACAATATAAGTTTTTGTTCAGGTTCTGTGTAAAAAGGGCTTCAGGGCAGGACCCACATGGAACAGAACTCTGTGCTCCCCCTCCCCTCAGCAAGAGAGAGAGCAAGAGAGAGAGAGGCTTTGAACCCATTGGGAGTTAAACAGAAATAAATATATTGTGTAACAGGGAACAGAAAACAAAAAAGAGAGGTAAAAATATATACAAAGATGGGAGGAATACAAAGTAAACAAGATATACAAACCCCAAATCTCAGATGGCTCTGGACCACGTGGAAAGAGGCAGTCTGACCTCCAGCCGACCAGGATCGAGAGCTGCAGGGCAAGGGGGCCAACACCCCCTTACTGCCTCTTTTAAAGAGTGTGGAGAGGAAGGGGATGGAATATACTCTTTTCCCCCAGGACCCTCCCAGGTCGTAGAAGATCACCTGCTCCCCACCCAAGCCTCCAACCACAACAGTTTTGGTGACTGTTGAAGGGAAATAAACCCTTTGTTCATCCAGTAGCATCACAGTAAGAAACTGGAATTAGTCATGCAATCGTGCTCTGGGGCCAGCAGCACCACCAGCAGCCTGGCTCTTAAAACAGAGTACAGAACTCCTAATAGATTAATTTATTCTGTTTCTCAGCAGAGCTCTGCACTTGACAGCCCCTCACTGCTGCCCTGGCTTGCTTGAAGCTAGTTCATGTGCCTTCGCACAGTGGACACATATGTAGGGTACTATCAAAAAAAAAAAGCTACCTTGGTCTTATTTGGGAGGAACTATATAAGATGTGTGGCTTTGTCATTTTGGTGGAGAGTTGGCCACCCTCATTAGTAACTATTATGTAAATAAGAAATAGTAGAACCTCAGAGTATGAAAAAGAACAGTTAATTAAAAGTTAAGCAACGCACCAAAACAATTTTACAGGGGCGTGAACTGTTTATGGAACTTATGAAGAGGCCTCTACTAGGAAGAAATTGTACTTGATGGCTTAAAAGATCCCTTCTGAAGTCTGAATTTCTGAATTATTAAGTGTTACAAGTCGTTGCCATGCCACCTCTAAAAAATTTCAAGATTCAAGACATCGCTCTTTAAGGACCAGGGAAGAAATCTTTCCTATGGTCTCTATCACAGCCCTGAGGCTACAGGGAAACTCAGCTCCTGAGTTGTAACTCCACAGTACCCACAACAGCCGCACAGCAGTAGGTCTACACTGAAGAAGAGGTCACCAGATTTGTCCTGAAACATGCATTCACCTCTTATTAAACTCAATGGGAATTATTTGGGTTCATTGAGAATAGAGCACACAAATTCTTCACCTATCTAAACCACAGTTCCTTTACAGGAAACAAAATCATTGCTTCCTGTCTTTCAGAATCAGACTACTGACTTGTAAAATTATTGCCTGCAGATTTTCTTTCTTGAAGATAGATCCTGTGACTGTATCACACAGCTACTCTAAATGCCATGCACAACTTATTCCATAAAGCCCTCTGGTTTGGAGTTGCAACATTATAGAACTTGGGTATTTTCATATGACAGGGCAAGCTGTACTTCACATCGTACTTTGTCTTCTGCTATTCAAATTTGCATTTTTCTGGGCTTCCAGACTGTCATAAATGCACATGTTGTAATCATTGTAGGAAAGGCACACATGAGATATAGGAAAATAACTTTGGAATAGAGGACAGACTATTTAGAAGCCATTATTTTGTCTTTAGTTTCTGGAATCAAAATTTCAGTTAATTCAATTACTACCTTTGAACCAGCAAGCACGAGTAATCACACAGTCTATGATCCATGGAATTAAACACCAACTATTTTCAATTGAGTGTGTCAGATATTTCCTGACTTTTCATGCATTTGGCTTTTTCCCCCACAGTTCTGGCCATTATTAGCCTTTTGCTTCAGCTCCACCATTGTAACAGAGCATTGCCATTACATCATGCTTGTAATTGTTTTCTGAGCAATTTAATACAACCACTTTCCCTTTGGAATGTTATATCCTATCTTTAATCCCATAATTGGCTTTTCCATCCATTGATGCCTATTAATCGATGTAACATGGCCTTCAAAGCAGAGACAGATAAATAATCCATCACAAAGTATGTATCCAGTGACTATCCTGGTTTTAAGCTTGTAGAGTATTTGAGGGAGGACCTTCTACCTTGCTTTCTATTTATTTATTTTTATAATTTCCTAATTATTTTTTCCACCTTTGTTTTTTCTGAACAGTTTTTAAGTCGAAATCTTAGCTGAGTTGGATATGATTTGTGATATACGAAACAACATGATATTTCTTTTCCTTTACATGATTGAAGGAGCTTAGCTCTTATAATAAAGAGGGTGCTCTGGCAAAGCCACTGGTGTTTTGAAGCTCTTAGAGACAGATAACTGATGAAGATGATTAGAGAATTTCATAATATTTAAAGTCTTTTCCTTTTTGACTTGCACAGGGCTTCTCCAAAGACATTACACCTAATATAATTAAAGCTTTGTAAAATTTACTGTTTGGGTAGGCATTTAAATTCAATTCTTTATCCACTTGCTGTTAAAAAAAAAGTGCATAAATTATTCTAGTTAAAAAGACATGGTCAAAGGATCCTAAAGTTAAGCTGAATCTTTCTGTCAGGAACTCCAGAAATCCCACTGCTTGTTTTTTTTGAGTATGACCTCATGCTGTAGAAAACACAGGGAGTATTTCATTATGTTATTTAAATTTTTCTGTCACCCTCATAGTCCTTAACACAAAATAAATTCTGTATTTGGTGGGTATTCATGAACAGTCCCACCTGAAGACCTCTGTTGCTCATTTCATACTACCTGTGCTTGTGCTTTAGAAAGTAGTTCTAGGGATCCAAATCTCAGCATCTGTTAGTCAATGTATCTTTCCATTTTATAATTCTCGGTTTAATAGAATGTGCACAATACACTAGGACCCTCCAAAGGCATGCTCTAACAAGCTTACTCTGTAAGTAACCAAGAAACACTGACAACTGAGAGAGATATACTTTAAAAATTTACTCATTCCGCATGAGATCAGCAGTTGATTGTTATCATCAGAATATCAAGGAAAAAAATCTACTACTGCACTGTCAGCTTACTTTCATTTTCCCAGTTATTTTTCAACGTGTTCGCTCACTGGAGGTGATGTGGTTTCTTGCCATGCTGTCTTCCATGGTAGAATTCCCAGCAGATTCAATAACACTGATACATTTACCTATTTCTCAATTTTTTTTTCTTAGAATGGGGGTGTTCTAATTAAATCCAAGCATCTCACAGTACTACAGATACCTGAGACCACTGAAACCCAACAACTATAACTGATGGCATCCTGCTATTTTATCTCTTTTAATAATTTATTCTTCATGCTTGCAACATGAAATTAAACTACACCTGTTCTTTCATAGGAGTTGGTTAGAAATATTTTTTGATTAATCATTCTGAATACGATACACATCTGTGCCTATATTTCTGTGAGAGCACCTGGAAAATCAGGAATTTACATACCTTCCTGTCCTCAGTGTGCAATAAATGTACCTCAGATCAAAATTAAGCTTACTGTCTCAAAACTATTTGAGCTTGCTTATAGCACATAACCTGTTGTTCCTTTTACTGCATTATATTACTAAGGACTTTTGTCTAGGACCAGGATCTTGAGGGGATTTAAAAGTTTGGTTACTCCTGCTTGTTGGGAATCTGAATTCAGAGCTTGTGAATCACTTTCCTTGTGATATCGTGTTCATGCCTCCAGCCTACTGCCACAGTGAGAGAAAATGAACAAAGTTATATTCTTCTGAATAGTCTTGGTATGAACAAGGAAAGGGAAAGTAGAAAGAAACTGGGTTTATTAGCTGAACCACCTAGAGAAGATATGAAGGTGTTTATGGAGATATCTGTGAATCCTCCAATGCTCCTTT